GTAATTTAGTTGATTTCTTTTACTATGCTTGAAGGTGTTAAGTGCTGGGGCTAAGGGACATAGTTGAGTGTGCAGAAATAAAAGTGCATACAGATTGAAATTTAAATGTGGCAGCCAGCATGACATTTGCACCAAGTCTTGAAAAAAGTAAAAGAGTTTATCTTGCAGATTTGTGGGGAAAAGAATATCCCAGACCAAACCAGCACCTAGTTAATATGGTCAAGGGAAGAGTGTCCTGTCATATTGGAGAAGTAACAAGGATGTACCACTTCTGGAATTGAGCAATAGAGTCTTTTGAGATAAAATATGTCACAACTGTGGGGCCATTGTAGGATTAGGCTTTGTATGATGAAAGAATGGGGCCTCTGGAAGGTTTTGAAAAGAGCAGACACATAATCAGATTCTGGCTTCGATTACAAGAGGGTCACTTGGGTTGCTGCACTAGTAAAAGTCTGAGGGAGCTAAAGGTAGGAACAGGAGCCCTAATGAGGAGATGGGTTCAGTCAGGCAGGCAAGAGTCAAGACAAGATTGATAAATGTATTTAATTCTAGTTAAATTTAAGTCTCTAGCCCTGTACTATTACAAAATATACAACTGATTCATCTCTCCAATCTCCTCCCATAAGGCCTTTTTGATGATATTTGGGTGATCTACAAAACCAGAGTTCTCTCTGAAAGAGTTCAGAACATCATTTTGCAGTGGAACATGCATACAGGTATTTCTATCAGTATACTTCATAAAAGCTAAATCTTGGAGTTGATCTGTGTGTCCATCAAGAGATGAATGAATAGAGATAGTGTGGTATCTGCACACAATGGAGTGCAACTCCACCATAAAGACAGATAAATGCATCATTTGTAGAAAAATGGGTGTAACGTGAGATCATAATGTCAAGTGAAATAAATTAGACTCACAAACTTAACTACTGTGTAGTTTCTCTTATATGAGAAACTCAAAGCACAGCAAAGAGCAACATCAAAGGTAGATAACGGAAAGTAGAGAGATAAATCTTTCTCAAATGGGGGAGGAAGAAAAGGAAGAGAAAGTGAAAAAGAAATTAAGATGAGCTATATAAGTTCACCAACTTCCCACAACAGAAAATGAACATTACAAATTATAGACATGTACTAATAATAAGCACAATACACAAAAATAAAAACCCTCCACAGTTCTGGAGCCCCTCCTGTTGTCTCCAATGTGCAGATTCGGTTCTTCAGTCCAGCACCATTCTGCTTATTGCACCTCTCTGGAAGTGGGTTTCTTGTTCTTTCAAAAGTTTCTAGCCTTAAGAAACCACGGCTCATTCTTAAATGAATCAGTGCCTTGGGTGGCTCACTTGTGTCAGTGCTTTCCTTTCCTGTCCTGGGTTCAAATGCACTTATCCTCCCCCAAGATCACTCTTGCTTCTGTGCTAGACATGGCTTAAATGATGTCAATTCTCACTGTTAGGGTTTGTCTCTAGATGTCCCCCCCCCCAATGCTGTGTGCCATCATGGGTGAGCAGGCTTTGCAGAGGTGGCTGAATCTAGAGCTTGTGTTTGATTCAAGGTCCAATGATGAGACTGAGGGTGTGAATGCTGCATCCTCCCTGGGGCAGGTAGCCCAAATACAATATGAGGCACAGAAAGAGGCTTGTCCCTTCTCTCTCTTGTTGCTTTTATTGTCTTCCACTGCCATGAAGTATTGACCCTCTGCCATGTGCCACTCTGCCTTGGCACCAGATAATAAAGGACAGAAACCTCTACAGACTGTGAGCTCACTAAACCACTCCCCCTTTATCTCTAGGTGCTGGGTATGTTACCTCAGCAATGAGAAAAGTAACAAGACACTCACCCTCATTGCCCAGAAATACTAGGGTGTTCTCTGTATCCACAGAATAGTTTACAGATATAGTGATCTCTAAATATATAGAGAAATACTTATTATTTTATCTGAATCACATGCTTTCTTCTTTTTTGTGATTTTCATGGCACAAAGTATGTATCGTTTACCTCCTGATGTGGGGTCAGTTCCATTACTACACCCCCAATAAAAAGGAAAGAACCACTGCACTGTTCTACTCCCAGGGACTGGCCTCTGTATTCTAGAGGTAACCCACAGGGATACCAGGGCTCACTCCTCTTCAGAAACCCTCCGATCTAGTGAAGTAGAGGCCAGAAATTCTGGTCTAGAAATACGAAAGCCAAGGATTGGAGATTATTTCAGAAGAGCTGAGAGAAAGAGAGTAATAAGCTCTTTGGTACCCTGAGTCTCTCATATGAGACAATAAGATTGTGAACTAAACAAGAAATGCAAAAGGTGCATGTTTGTGTGTGTGCACATGCACACACATGTGCATGTACATACATGCACACACTGTCATAATTTCTAGAGGAAACTGTTCTTTTCTAGGTCATTTCTCTCCTTTCATTATGATTTTTGAGACAACACAGCAAAGACGTACTCTGTGTCATAAATATTGTGCTCAGTACTGCTGTTTCTTCTTTGCCTTCTCATTCTCACTAGTTTCCGAGCTTATGAGAAACAGAGCTCTGGACAGCTCATCTCAGGTGTTCTCACCGTGGCGGGGCACAGGAGGCTGACCTTAAGTTGGCGAGAAGAATATTCGCCATATGTTTGCAAAACAGTGACTTAGCAATGCAGAGCCAAAGTTACATCTTTAATCTGTCTTTACTTCAAAATTCGTCACTGCAAAATTAAATATTGACATATAATATAAAAGCTTATAAGGACTAAAATCAAAGTATTTGTGAATTTTTATACATTTGGGGTATGAAAACTTTGTGTCTGTAGGACACCCACTGTATCAGTAAAGATAAAAAAAAAAATAGGTATGAATTTCAGTATGTAAATTAAATTACTTCTGTACCAAGAAGCATCAGAATGCAATGTCTAACTAGAAATAGTACCAGAAGGACAGGGATGAAACTCTTTGACTCAATGGCTAAATAAGAAAATGGAGGGAAGTACCGTGGTCTGGGCAGGGAGCATGAAAGAGGAAATTTTCTTCCCCCAGAAGAGCACTCAGGTCCACTGGGAAGCACCAGTGGAGAGGGGCAGGGCGACCGCAGAAGACCTGAGGAGAACTCCACGGTGCTCCAGGGCTTTACAGCAGCCCTCTCTCCTTATAACAGCATCCTCCTTGCCATGCACAGGGTTCTGCACATTCTCCCACCATCTAACTTGCTGGCTTCTTTTTCTTAGAAACGTTGGCAAGCTCACACTCCTTGCCCTATCCACCTGACTGAGTTCCTCAAAGCTGTCTCTAAAACCCTACTGTGACTCACCCCAGGAGGACCACCTTCATCCACGTTATCAGGCACCACCCCACTGCTTGCTTCCCCCAGAGCTTTACCTCTGAATCACAGAACCACACGCTCAAGCATGCATCAAAATCTCCACTCAGAGGCCTGCATGCTGCCCTGATCTTATCTCAGCCGAAGCCATGATCAAGCTTTGAATCTCTCTGCATCCCAAAGTAGTCCTCTTTTGACTTTCTTCCTTCTGAATGACAGTTGCTGTTCAATTACATAGGCCACAAAACTAGAAATCACCTTTATTATTTCCATAGCCTTTTGTTATTTTCTGCCAGGTGCTGTTGACATTGCCTCCTAAACAAACTTGAAATCTCGCCAGATAGCCCAATAGATACTGCCAATAGCCAAGTTAAAGCTTGTGTGAACTATTGGTGATAACTGATATTGCCTTCAAGCTGGTCATCCATCTGGCTTTTAAGAGATTTTTATAGCAGTTTCCCATGGCTCTAAGAATCATGACAAAATAAACGCACAACTTTTCCATTGCCCACCCTGCTCTAAATCCACTCTTGGAGTTGTTTCTGATCTGAGTCATACGTCCTCGATGCAGGACTTTCGGTCTGGCATGCCTTTCCTTGACATGCCACTTCCGGCCTGGCGGCTCCCACCATCCTTCATACTTACCTTCTTCGGTACTTTCTCCAAGACCCAATACATCTGAGTCAGGTTCCCGTGCGGAGGACTCTGCGAGATCAGTATTCCTTCCCCTCACAGCACCTGCCTCACGCTCCCATTCACGTACCGGTGTGATGAGATGTATAGTCACTTTCACCAATGGCTCTGCTAGCTAATGAATGCTAAGAGGAGGAAAGTCACACTTGTTCTGCTAACAAATATATATCAGGCATATCATACAGTGGCTCACTAAAAATGAGATCTTGCTAAAAGATGAAAGTATTCATAAATGCATGAATCAATGAAGCAACCACCCAGCCTCAACAAATTGCTTAACACCTCGCGGCTCACTCATCTATCCACAGAGTAAGTGTAGAGGTAAAACAAGAATATATGTGCACTAGCTCTTTACAAGCACTTTTCATTCTAGTCAGAATGCTGCTGATGGCTCTCCATGAAGTACATGTCACAGAGATTTCAGAGGTTCCTTTCAGTTCACAACGGCATTAGGTAGCCTCACTGGGCCGGCTCCATGACTCTGACCTCTGCAATGCTCTCTCTTCCTAGGTTTCCAGATTTAGGCAGTGCTGAGAAGGATGAATAGCTGCTTGAAAGGATTGTCCCTAGGCTGTGTGTGTGTGTGTGTGTGTGTGTGTGTGTGTGTGTGTGTGCTTGAATGTGTGCACTTGTGTGTGCACACATGCATTCAGGGTTAGCAGAGTTCACAAGCTGGAAAAATAAAAACCTTGTCATGAGAAGTGTCAGGAACTGAAATGTATTCCAAAAGATGGTGTGCTTAATGTTAGGCCAGAGAACAGAAATAGCTGGGTGTGAGAAGCCACGGCTGTGTGCGTGTTTCAGGATCCCACACCTGCGTTTCAGTGCTCCTGCTCCAGTCCCACATACACACGCTCCCTAAACAATGACAGAAGGATGAATCTGGGACCGCCCTGGTGTCTTGGCGAAGGACGCTCTGCACCCTCAGATGGCTGACCCTAGGAACCACGGGCGGTGCTGCTTTTCAGAAGGATCTGACAGTGCTCCAGGGGAAAGAATCAGTTTTCACAATGGCAACAACAAAACTTCTGTGTTTCCTTGCGTATCAGTCTGCCTCTAGACTGATCTCTGCAACAAAGTTGCTGGATCTTGAGGTGGCCAGAAAGCATAAGGCATGGAAGAAGTGTGATAGTGATATTAGGGGACGTAATGGCTTAGATCTGAACCGCTCCCCATCCACGAATTTCATGTTTGGAGGTGACTCGACTGTGGGTACACTATGCTCATCTGTATAAGTTGACAAGTTCAGAATTTGCTGTTAGGAAGTGGGCTCTCTCTCTCTCTCTCTCTCTCTCTCTCTCTCTCTCTCTCTCTCTCTCTCCCCACTTCCTGAATGGTGGGAGGGGCAGCGTTCCTCATCAGAGTCCTCGGCCAAAACCTTCTTGCCTTGCAATCAGCAGATCACGGACTAACCGACTCCGCTAAAAACCATGAGCCAAGCTTTCCTTTAAACTGCGGGCATTGGGTATTTGCCAAGTGGAAAAGCGAACGATATGGAGGAGTATGCAGAGAAAAAATAAAGACAACCGTGAGAAGGGCAGCGGTTTTTCGGAGATGACTGTTTACCAGTCCAGGTGTAAAGGGGCGCATCTGCAGGCCCTTCGGTTAGTCGCAGCTTTCAGCGAGGGTGATTCTGCAGCTGCAGTGCTTTGGAACTGTAAAAATGTGACACCTCCCTTTCCTACAGCAAATGAACATTTGAATAGCAAGAAAGCATAAGGATGTTGCGCAGTTCCCTGCTCTGTGTGCTCGTTTGTCCATTCATTCAAATCATAAAAAAGGAGATGAGATGTTTGTGACTAAAAGAACAGATAAGAAAACATAGATATTTAAGTATTTTTTGTTTTTAAAAAGCATTAAAGAAATATGAAAACAAAAAGCCTATAATTTAAGAACCCAAATAATACCTGCTGTCACTTGGGAAAGTATTATAAACATGTAAATGCTCCTGAAATTCAAGAGCAATCTTCATGAATTTTGCATATTTCTTTTAATTTAAAAGAATATTCACTTATTCTTTTATATTCATATATTCATATATATGAGCTCTCTATCTGTTTATATACTGTTTTCCTTTGATCTATCGCCTTTCTTATATCAGATCAAGAACTAACTTTACATAAAATGTTTTACTGCAGGAGTTTTCAATCTGGAACAAAAGTAGAGGGAATATAACATCATTAAATCTAACACATCTTTTACATAATTAAGTATTGTGCAACTCTTTCATCTATCCTGCACAGCATGTCTTTAAATGCCATATGTATTATTATTTTACCTTTTCACAATTCAAAAATGAGATAAGGACCTTTAAAAGTACTATGTGTTATCAGCAAGTCATTAAAAAATTAATTTCTTGGTAGCTAATTCACCATCCATCTTCAAATTCTCATAATTAGTGTCTGCGATACCTGACATTCACAAGCGGTTTACGCAGAACAAACTTACAAGAAACTTCTATGATTGTTATTCTTCCTTTACATAGTTGAATCATGATCTTCTTTTCAAAAATCTATTTTGCTAAACTTCTTTTTAAAATCTATTTAAAAAGATAAATTGGCATAGTCAATGTACTAGATTTGAGGTAACTACTCAAGTGCTAGCAGTTATGTTTGTCATTTGTAATTTGTTTTCTGTTTGTTTCTTTTTATTTCCTTTTGTTGCCTTTCTATTGGTTGCTTGAAAACTACTTATAATTCATTTTTTCTTTATGTGTAGGGGCCTAGGTATATCTGTTTGTATAGCTCCTGGAGTAGTTTCTCTGGGCATTACAATTCTTAGGTGTAACATCTACATCTGTACCTGTATGGAAAGACCCAGTTATAGATACATCTACCTACTGGGGACAGGGTTGTATGGCTGCAAGCAGAGCACAGTACCATCACTGTGGCTGAGATCCCTTTACTTCCTCCCTTTCAAATATCATCATGTTGAATATTGGATGATGTTATAATTTTTATTTCAATCATTAAATATGATATAAAACTCAAGAGGAGAACAATCATGCTTTAGAATTACATTCCTGTGTTTTCTAATATCTTTCTTTTCCTTTCCAAAAAGATTCCCTATTTTCTCATGTCTTTGTGGTTGAGACCTTCTATTAGCTGGTCTTCCACAGAAATATTCTTTTGTTAGAAGATGGTTTTATTATTCCTTTATTTCCAAAGAATAGTTTGCCTGGATATAAAATTTACAGTTGACAGGTTTTGGGTTTTTTTTTTGTTTTTTTTTTTTACCACTTTAAACACGTTATACCACTTCTTTCTGGCTTTCATGCCTCATTGAAGAAATGTAATGACGTTTGAAATGTTGTTTTTTCTGCCAGGAAAGTGCCACTTCTCACTCACTTCTTTTAAGATTTCTTTCATCCTGGTTTTCACAAGATTCATGTCTACATGTTGCACTCTGGATTTCTTTTACTTTTTCTTCTTTGGGTTGTTTTAAGAATCTTGAGTCTATATAAAAGTAATGAGAACTTTCCATGTATTATCTAAATACACATCATTAAGGGCTCGGGGCTCTGGTGGAGAGCTACGTGAAGGCCATCAACAGCGGGGCGGTGCCCTGCTTGGAGAACGCGGTGACCACGCTGGCCCAGCGTGAGAATGCAGCAGCCGTGCAGAAGGCAGCCGCCCACTACAGCGAGCAGATGGCCCAGCGAGTGCGGCTCCCCACAGACACGCTCCAGGAGCTGCTGGACGTGCACGCGGCCTGCGAGAAGGAGGCCATCGCGGTCTTCATGGAGAGCTCCTTCAAGGATGAAAATCAGGAATTCCAGGAGCAGCTCGTGAGCACTGTGGAGAGAAAGAAGGAAGACTTCTTGCTGCAGAATGAAGCAGCATCTACCAAATACTGCCAGGATGAGCTGGAGCAGCTCTCAGCGTCCCTGATGGAAGACATTTCCGAAGGAATCTTCTCTGCTCCTGGAGGCCACCGGCTCTACTTGGAAGCAAGAAGGAGGGTTGAAGAGGGCTACAAGCGTGTGCCCAGGAAAGGCGTTAAGGCAAATGAGGTCCTCCAGAGCTTCCTGCAGTCTCAGGCTACTATAGAAAACTCCCTTCTGCAGTCTGACAAAGCCCTCACTGATGGAGAGAAGAAAATAGAAGCTGAAAGGGCCAAGAGGGAGGCAGCTGAGAAGGAACAGGAGCTACTAAGGCAGAAAAACAAGGAGCAGCAGGAAAAGATGGAGGCCCAGGAGAGAAGCTTCCAAGAAAATGTGGCTCAGCTAAAGAAGAAGATGGATGAGGAAAGGGAGAACATTCTGAGGGAACAGGAAATCATGTTGGAGCACAAGCTGAAGGTCCAAAGAGAATTTCTTATGGATGGTTTTAAGAAGCAATCTGAAGCACTGAACAGAGAAATAGAGCAACTAACTCAAGAAATTAAAAACACCAAAAGCAACAAATCTTTCTTTTCAAAGATTCTTGATACTGCTGGCACTGTTTTCATGGCAGTGTTGCCTGGGGCTGGTAAAGGCATTGGTTTAGGGATGAAATTTCTTAGTTCACAAATTTAATATAGTCTGAGAGTTTCTGTCAAGAAAACAATAAAATGAGACTACTTTAATTTTTAAAAAAAAGAATCTTGAGTCTGTAAGTTCATGTCTTTGTTCCAAATTTTGAGGCTTTCCAGCCATCATTTCTTTGAAGATTTTTTTTTCAAACTCACCCCCTTTCTCTTCTCCTCTGGGTCTCTAGTGGCACAAATATTTGGTGTTTTGTTGGTCTTACAGCCATCTGAGACCTGATCTTTTTTTTTTTTTTTTCAATCTACTATTTCTGTTATTCAAATTTGCAGAAATATAGTGAAATCTCCAATCTTACTGATTCGGTCATTTATATTTTGCCTCAGCTATTGAGCTGTCCTGTAGGGTTTTTTATTTATATTATGTTGTTTTATTCTCTAATTTCATTTTATTTTTGTAAGGTTTATTTCTTTCATGAGAATTTTTCTATTTTTTATTTGTTTAAGGAGAAAGTATCATTGAGTATTGAAGATTTTTACCATGGTTCTTTTGAAACTTTTTATCAGCAAATTCTGACATCTGATTTAACTCAGTGTGGTCTAATTGGTACAATAGTTTAGATCTGCAAAATCCCTCAAAAGTCTCCTGTCTTCACAGGTAGGGAATTTGGAAAGCTGGTTGAATGGTAGAAACACTATAGTCAGCCACGGACTGATCAATTGGTTATATGAGTTCATAGCTGAGTGTATTGTTATAAGGTGTTGCCTGGCTGGAAGAGGTGTGGCCCTGGGGGTGGGCTGTGGGGAATGTAGCTTCCTCCCTGGCACCCTTCTTTTTCTCCTCCCTGGATGCTGAGAGTTGAGTCATTTTCCTCTAGCATACCATCTACCATGTAATTTCTACCTCAGATTTAGAGTTCCATGGACTGAATCTTCCAAAGTGATAAACTGAATTAATCATCTCATGTAAGTCCTGGATGTCAGATATGTTGTCCTGGTGATGGCAAGGTGGAGAACACAGTTGATGATCTTTTCTCATCAAGTTGTCATTTTGATTTCTTTTGTGATGGATGATTTCTTTTGCACTACAGAGACTTTGTCTTTTGCATTAAGAGACTCTGAGGTCCTCTTTAAAGTTTCTATTTTAACTGGTAGTAGCTCTGTTTAGAAATGGCAGATATGACTTGACCAACTTTTGTGAATGGCAATTACAGTTAGCTTTCTGAGGCTTTGTGATTCTGTTCTGGTCTACTTGGTTTGCCTGATGTTTCTAGGACACTTGTTTTTCCATGTTAGTGCTATTTGAAAGGCAAAAAGAGATTTCTCCAGGACAGACCATCATTGTGACTGCGTCCTTCTTGGTGATTCTATGCCTGGCCTTCATATTTCTGGATGAGACAAAAGTGTTGGATAAAAGTGAATACAGAGGGTTCCAGAAAAGCCTTTTCTTGTAGATGAAATCCACTTATGAATTTCATGTATCTACCTCACTACCTGTAAGCAGGGAAGTAGAATCTCGAGGGTAGTATGGAAGGAGAGGGCTTCTCTTGACTCCTTGGGTTGGCCTTACCTCATGCTACAGCAGCTGCTGCTTGATCGTTAGTAAGAGTAAGTCTTGGATGAAACCTGTCACTTTGTCAAAATTGGAAATTCTAGGCAGTGTGGTGATCGTCTTTTAATTGAGGCATGGAATAAACTCTACCAATATTTTGCTCTTCCTGTGTGGGGGTCCCAATCCAGCTCACCTAATTTAGCTGGTGCTTAGAGTTCATCTGATTCTCTTTCACATGACTTCTACATTTTATAGTTAGACTGTGCAGAAAGGAAAGGAAAGAAATGGGTCTGTTGCAGCTTGTCTCAACTGAATTTTCACATGCCCTTTTGATAACATTGCAAGATCAGTTGTTTACAGGCTCCAGCTTCCTGAACCACAGAATATTGTAGGCCTTTCTTTTATATTTCTTGTCCCACACATGAAATTGCATGTTGCTCCAGGGACTTTGGTCTCTGTCTCATAAGATGTGTTATTAGGATGACAATCTGGCTGTACTTGTGTTTAGGTCTCTGCAGTGAGCCGAGGAAAATAATGTCTTTTAAGAGGAAAACAAATCATAAATTTGCTTTCATCATTGTGTTTCAAAAGTTAAGATTACTGAACTGTTCTTCTTATGTAAAAATAATTTTTAATATAATTCCTATTTCTCAGTTTGAAGCATAACTATAGTTTTTCAACATAACAATACAAATGTACCCCAAAGTATTGATACTAGAAAAGTGTAAGAGCTATTTTCACTGCCTTTTGTTTCAGTTCTACACTTGTAGGCTTATGGAGTTAAAATATTACATTTAAAGCCACTTTAAAGTGCTGAGGTTGTAACTCAATAGCACAATGCCTGCCTAGAAGGCACAAGGTACTGAGTTCAATTCCCAGTACCAAATAAAGGTCACTTTAAAATAATAACATTTGCTATGTGATTGTGTCATCATTTGATACAGAGTTTTTCACTTTTCTAAACTATTTTCAAATTTAGGGATTTTTCTCCTTTTTTTTTTTTTTTTGGCAGAACCAGGGATTGAACTCAGGCCCTTGCGCTTGCCAGGGAAGCGCTTATTCCACTGAGTCATCTCCCCTGCCCTGATTTTTCTCCTTTTTTAAGTTAAATTTTTAAAAAAATATATATAAAATATTCTACATCAAACTATATAATGAAAAATACTTATATACACTTGCACATTGCTTCATCTACCTAGTTCTCTGCCTGCCCAAGGAAGAGGCCATATTATTGAGGCTTAGTTTTATCTTTCTGTTAGCTTTCTGGAAGTATAAATAATTGTTTTCCTAGCATACATCCTCTTCTGCAACTTGCTTCATTTTCATTTACTTCTTATTTGATTTCATTTCACTTTACTCCATATTAGCATACAGAATTCTTCCCACTAATATAGATTTAATAATGAATTTTGAAATATTTCCTCACTACTATATAAGCACAGTTCCCATATAACAATGAGGAGATGGCTCAGTGGAATAAGCGCTTCCCTGGCAAGCACAAGGGCCTGAGTTCAATCCCCGGTTCCCCCAAAGCAAAAAACAATGGGATAAAACACAGAGACCTGCAAGGCTCAGCATGGCCTGCATAGGAGATTATGTTGAGGAAGCCTGATTAATAAGTGATAAAACAAGGACACCAGAGAAATCTGAAAGCTCTGGCCCTTAGATCTATAAGAGTTAGACACAATGAAATTCCTAGACAAACTTATATAAAATCATACACTAAAAGATACTATTTACTATACTATTTATTTCAGTCATGATTGTCCTAAATAAGATGTCCACCTTTTAACAAAAATATGTAAATCCTGTTAACAGGCAAGGAAAAGCAGAATGTAAAGGGACATTCCCAAAGCCATAGTCAGTATGCCACAGATGTTGTAATTATCTAAAAGTGATTTTTTTTTTTGCAAACTGATTCATCTGACAAATTTCCTAATAGAAAAGGTACTGAATATAGAATTGTGCATGTAATATAAGCAGATATGTAAGAGCCTAAGAGATAATCTAAAGACATGCTTGAAACTGATAGCAAAACTCAGTAGTTTATTGGATTGGCTCATCCATAGACTAAGCATAATTTAGGAAAGAATCAATGGGCTTTGACACAGTCCATAGAAGCATCTCTAAAAGGAGAAAAATGAGTAGTAAAGTAAATGAAACAAAACTTGCAGGAACTGTGAGTGTGTTTCTGTCTCGCTTAAGAGAGGAAAACAAAATCAAATAGAAATAGCATTAGAAATCATGGCTAAGGCCATTCCAAAATGAATAAGAGCTACCAACCACAGATGCAGGTAGCTCAAAACCAGAAAAATAGACCTTCCTTATAGGACTCCTCTTGTTGGGCAACAGATACCGATACCAGATTTTGTAATGTAAATATGCAATTTCCTGTGACGGAAGCTGACCATGCCTCCCCATAGCTGTGCCTGGGGAAAACGGGCAGCAACATTATGAGGCAAACAAACTTTAAGGTGTGTGTGCTCTGCCAACAGAGTATCAGGTGAGGGTTTCACCTACTTAACCTTCCATGCTACATTTCTGTGCTCTGGGGATTCATTTTAGCAAAGTTTTCTTTCCAGTTTTCTTGCATAAGTAGCCCAATTCAACACAATGATGCATGAAAAACTCAACTTACAATTTTTGGGGGAGGTCAAGGCGAGTCAGCTGACTTGTACACTCATGATGACATGGATTATTGGAGTCAAAAGATATGCAACAGTGAGGTGGAAGAAGTGACAGATCCAGATACAGGGAATGAAGACTTTGATTCAGAGGAAGAAAGAAACAGCCAAACTTGTACATATTTGACTAGTTGAAATGCCATAGAATGGTCACGTACACCTAAAAGATCCAATGATAGAACTAAGTTAGAAAATGTTATTAGGCTCTTGGCAGGGGTGAAACATATTGGGTGGAATAGCAGCACTGTGAATCAATGTTTGAAATTGTCTGCAACAAACAATAAGCTACAGGTGTTGTGAAATATGAAAATGATGAAATATAAGTAAAATGTTCTATATCCACTAATAGTAATACTTGAAAATATGTTTATTAGGATGTCTATCTGAATGGAGAGCCTTCATAGACCTGCTGTATATATCAGGGCTTTCTCATTCATCAGAATGTAAAGGATTTATGGAGAAATGATAGGAATGGCCTTGAGGTTTGTAGAGTAACAATGACACTGAAGAGCTTTATTTTCCTTCAAAATTTCCTGCAGCTTATTAAGAAAAGCACTCACCAAGAAAGGAAGAGTCAATAGCCTGGCTGCTATTTGTCAATTTTTTGAAAGCTTTGCTTCAAACTGTCAATAAATTTGTGCATCCTCTGGATATATGACAACTGATAAGCAACTTGCAGCATTTTGTGATTGTTGTAGAGTTTAGCAGTATATGCTGAATGAACTTGACAAAGGTAGTATAAAAATATAGACACTACTAGATGTGAAGACATTTTACACTTTCAATTTAGAAATTTATCCTGGAACTCAATCATCAGGTCTTTGTTTGTGCAGTAATAATCCAAATGAAGTTCTGAGAAGACTTGTTGCTCCTGTTTCAAAAACTCACCAAACTCAGACACTTGACAATTGGTTACCCATTTATATTGCATTTGCGAAAAGAGTATCTCTTGATTAACATAAGAACTATACTTAAAAACAAAACAGAGATTCCCAGTGAAATATTGCAAGTTCAAAATAGAAAATTGTGCCCTACAATCTTTGGATTTCAGAAATACATAACCTTGGCCTCATATATGGCAAAGAAAAGCTAAGAAGTATTGGTGATGTCAACATTATATCATGATAGTAAGATTTCCAGTGAAACCTCACAGCAAATGAAGGCTGAAATGGTCACATTTTACTACAAAACCAAATGCAGTATAGGTATTATTGACAAGTTATGCAGCGACTTTGATGTCACTCAAAATACAAATTGTTTGCCAATGATTGTATTTCACTTGATCCAAAACATTTAAGGCATAAATAGCTTCATGGTTTACAATGAAAATAACAAAGTCCTCTATGAAAATTGTCATGCAGCAATTTTCATAGAGGACTTGGACTGGACTTGATGAAAGATCAATTATAACAGAGGAAGAAAGTGTATCTGCCCAAGGAATTACAAAATAAATACTGGAGCACACCAGTGACCAGACAGGTGAAACATCACAGGACCTCCTGGGACAATGGAGAAATGAAGAAGACAACAAGGATGTCCTACCAAAAAAGACAGAAAACAAAACACAGGTGCTATGATTGTAAGCATTACTTGTGTATGGGCCATGCGGATTTAATGTGTGAAGACTGCCTTAGGTGCAATAATTGAAGTAAAGTTAATTTTTGAGATAAACTCTTATTTGTATTTTCATTATAGGTCACATAAGAATGTATTTGTCATTAATTTTTAGATTTCACAAGAAATAATTTATTAATGTTGAAAATATGGATGTTCATCCCAAACACTCATTACATAGTAAAAAATTAATGCTTTAGTTTATTGATATTTTATTTTCCTGCTAAGTACACATTGTATAATTTAATAAAACAAGAGGATTCAAATAAATACTTCCGTGCTCACATCGACAGCACATATACTAAAATTGCAATGATACAGAAAAGATTAGCATGGCTCATACACAAGGATGACAGGCAAATCATGAAACATTCCATATGTTTCTGAAGATAGCAGTGTGTAATGGTAGGGTCATGCTTGCGATGCCTGCCATTCTGGTCTTCTAAATATGTACTGTTTGTCATGATATCCCAATTACTGCCGTACTCCGTCTCAAAAATAAAGAGTCTAGAAAAAGGATCTTAAGTCAACAATGTAAATTTTCACCCAACAACACTGCAAAAATAAAATCAATTTAAAACTAAAGCAAGCAGAAAAAAATGATAAGATTTAAAGTAGAAATCAATGAAATTGAAAATGAAAACATAATAGGTAAAAGCAATGAAATCAAAGTTTATTCTTTAAAAGATTAACATTTCTTATCTTAATATTGGGAGTTCCAAGACAAACCTTCAAATTTCATTTACTTTAAATCTTTCCAGTCTTCTTTATTAACAATCAGAAGGCAAGGAGGAAGAGACCCGAATCATGGATTTTATTGTTCTCTGAGTTTTAGTCGCAATCCCATACCAGGGATTACACGCTCATTTTGCTGAGTGCCATGAGGGATTCCCTGAAAGTTTCAGGCATTTCCATCAATTTCTTTGTATAAACTGTCCCTGTTTCTGTATTGAAGCTTTGGTTTGAACATATGTATCTCTCCAAAATTCATGACAGAATATAATACCTAAAGTGATAATATTAGGAAGAAAGACTTTAGAAAGTGACCAATCTAGAAGGCCACACCATCTTGGGTGACGCGGTGCCACTATACAAGAGCTGGAGGAAGAGCTTTTGACCCTGGGCCTTTCTGTCCCTTCTTCAGTGGGAGGCCATGACAAGCCGCCATCCATGGTGTGGGCTGTGATCCCTCACCAGATTTCAGATCTGTTTATCTTGGACTTCCTACATCTAGACCTGAGAGAAACAATCTTCTTTTGTGTTTAAACCTAAGGTATACTATTATAGCAACAGGAATGGACTGGAGCACCCCAAACTAACTTCCTTAGGAAGTAGATGTTTGGCTTGCTGATATGAATTTGCACAGCAGACTGAAGACTTTTACCCATGGTGATGTCCTATACTTTTTCCCTATGTAGTGGTTGATACATTATGTCAACTTGAGAAGTTAAAAGCTAACAAAGTCAACCAGCAATTCCCCACCCTAGGGCATGGAGGTCCCACCCTAGAGTGGATAGATTGTTCCATTTCCTTGCAGGAGCTCCAGTCTTTGGAGTCAGCTCTACATCCTCTCCTGGCTTCTAGTCATCTCCTGGCTTCTAATGCAGACTCTTCAATTTCTACCTTAGATCCTTCAGCCTCCTGCTGTAGACTCATCAGCCTTCCATTGCAGACCCATCAGCCTCCTGATACGACATTTTGTTGCAGATCCCTTGGCCTCCTGATACAGACTTTCACAGAACACTAGCTCCAGATCTTAGACTGAATCCTTCAGTCTCCATTGTGCAAACACCCTCTGCACATTTTTCATCTTACTCCATGGCTGACAGTGGTAAGCCAATCTTATAATTTTTCATACACTTGTGTATCTTGTGTTATATCTGTTCCTCTAGTAAAGCCCTGACTGATATATCCTACTGTAGCAGAAAGTGTTCCATTAACCTGTATACTTCATTTTTTTAGTTGCCTAGGTAATAGTTCCTCTTCCAGTTCTGGTGACTGCTATCTCTTAGAATGGCTGCTCACTGTGATACATAGCTGGTCATTGTAGTGCACATGGTATAAACCAATCTCCAATTGACAAGCTATTCTGCCTCCATACTTTCTGCTTATTTATCCCATATAAGCCTTAGGCCACCAGAGATTCAGGTCTGATATTCTGGAAGTGATCCTAATTGGTGCCCATTAGTGCAAACAAATCTAGCTCCAAATCAGTCATTTTGATGTTTCTACTTGTCATTGTACGACTTTCTGCTGCCTCCCCAGATCGGACCTTAACTATACTATCTTTCACATGCTAAGCCTTCTTTACTCTCAGATATTATTAGGCCTAGGTTTTCATGACTTTTCTATTATGCTAAAACCCACTTCCAGTAGGTACTGGAAGTAAGGAGGCTTTTACTTTTTTGGATAGCATCGGCATTCTGGAGCAGTGATGGGCATTTGTTTTCAGAACTTAGTGGATGTTTCTGCTGATTTTCATGGGCCGAGAAGCTGAGATCTGCCTGCTGTGGCACCTTGTTGCACTGCGTGTCCGGGGAATCCAGTTTTCACTTTTAGTGGTAACAAAACCAGCATTCACCTACCATAAATGAGCACCAGCAATGTACTTCTGCTGTATTTAAAAGATGTACCTGGGTCCTCCAGCTAGCTCAGCAGACTAAATGCTTGCTTAGGCAAGTGCAGGACTGGGGTTCAATCCCTCTACACACACACACACACACACACACACACACACACACACCATATGTCATGCCGGCCTTACCCCTGGGTGTGCTGAGCTGGCCACTGAGACTACAGTAGTTTTCTGAGAAGATAATCTCCCTGAAAAGAAGTGAGAAAGGCAGGACTAATTGTATTCTGGAAGAGAACTGAAAGGTCAGTCTTTTGGGAGGCAGCAGCAGCAGAGCTCACTGCTCTGAGTCATTCCAGACATTCAGAGTAGCAGTTGTGGATGTGGACATGTGCAAGGCAAAGCACTGTGGCATTGTCATTTGCAGCCTAAAACCTTTGTGCCTGATCAAATGTGCAACTCACATTGGGCCATTTTCCAGCACGACCCTGGAAGATGTCACTTTTATAACTCACGGGTCCTGGAGCTTTTGCTTCCAAGAAAGGTCAGATTTGCCAGGTGTGGTGCTATTAGCCCACAGAATGAAGCTCGTTGACACAGAGTTTCCAGAATTATGATCATCAAGGGAAACGCTCTTTGCACTCTTTTCCATTCCCACCCTTCTCTGTCTTGGGATCTCAAGAGAAAAGGTTCTGTATTAGTCACCAAGGCGAGTCAGTACCTGTGAGCTCTGGTTGTTCTCCCAGTTTAAGACTTGAAGTTGAAATCAAGCCAGGCACTGTGGAGGAAACCTTAATCCTTCATAGTTCAGATGAATATTCATGCTGAATCTAGTGCTGACTCAACAGATAAGTACCAACATGTTCCTTAGTGGCAAGGAGAAGGGGAGAAAAAATCAAATCCAACGTTTATAGAAAGTTCCAGAGCCTTCCCCTATTTCTGTAAGAATGAGTAGGAAGACAATGCAAGTTGAACGTAATGCTCCAAATAAGTGCTGTAAAGGATTTCCAACTTTTAGCCCCATTACAAGAATACATAAAGAAATATAAAATATTTTTTCTCTGGGTTACCACCAGTAACCCAGTATTATTTGGCCAGTATTAATGGCCAGTATTATTTTCTTCTACAAATATATTTCCTAATTTTTTTTTTTGCAGTTAGCAGTGAAGAAAGAACATGAGGATAATGAAATAACTTCAAACTTCACAAATAACTTCAAACTTCACTAACCAATATGCCACAAGTTTATCTTAGTGGATAAAATTAAACACACATTAGTGCATTTTCCAAAGACCTTTAGGTTGACAAAACCCTAATTAAAATGTGACCGTACAAGATAACGGGAATTCACACCTCAATCTGACTAGCAAGAAATAAAATAAGACCCTCCACAAATGTAAAAGTATAAATACCAAGAAAGACCGGAAGAAACAGCCACAGAGAAAGCATGAAGGAAACAGTATTTTGTTCGCCGGGACCCACTCTGATCTGTACATCTAAATTTATCCCGGCACACCTGTCACCTTCCCTGCAACTGGCTCAGGAGTTGGTCTTCCATCTATCTCTCACCTACAAGGTGGTCTAACAGCCTAAGAGTGAGGATAACTCCTAGTCTGGCAGAACAGAGACGTTTAAAAAGCTTCATGATATCTGGAAAACTGAGATCAAGTACAATGCTGACTGTCTTGTTGATGGGGAAATAATTCTGTTGTCACTGTGTGAAATAATCTGAGGTGTGCTTCCTGTTACTGTTCAAAGCTCTTCACCTACATCCGTGCCAAAGCAGACCTTCCCCTCCGTTGTGAATTTAGCTCAAATATGAATATTCTTTCTCATCTTGTCACACTACACTGTTTCTCTTTTGTAAAAATTGGATTATAAGTTACTAAATATCAATGATGCGTCCATCAGTTTTTATATTTTATTCTTCAATACTGAACGTGTTCATTATAGAATTGTGCTTCCTAATTTTTCTAAGACTCTTCACTGTACCTTGTAAGAACATAACAATGTGATACCCTTCCTGGAGGCAAGGAATTATGCACGTAAATTATACATTAACATGTTAACTTATTTTGACCAATTAGATCCACTGACATGGGAATTTTCATCTATTTGAGGGATAATGTGGCAATCTTTCTCGGGAAGAAATCCTGTCATGCAATCCAGCAATAAGGAAATATACACGCACACCAATGATAGGACTCAGCTATTACACTTTCACTGTTTCAACATAGTTATATTTTGAAATATTTAATACAATGCGGAGAAGCACTAAAATGTAAAATATACTTGCATCCTCAAACTAATAAATATTAATGCTTTGCCAATTTTATTGTTATTTATTTATTTATTTATTTATTTGATACAGGGTCTCACTATGCAACTCAGGTTCATAGTGATCCTCCGATCTCAGCCTCGCCAGCACTGGGATTGCAGGGGTGCACCACCACGCCCAGGTTCACTGCCCAGCACAGCATGCCCAGGGTTCTGGGATGGGGCCACATGTGGCAACAGAGCTCAAACCCAGATCCTTGCACTTGCCAGGCAGATAGGTGCTAAGACTGCCAAGCTATCTCCCCAGCCCTGTTTTGCAAATTTGAAGTTGTTTCCATTAGAAATAAGCATTTAGATATAGAATTGAAGTCTATGACTCCCGTGATTTATTTATTTTCCTTTCCCAAAATAATTGTCATGCAATATTTTTTAAAATGTTCTAATACACCCATATGACCCCATGAACAATTTATGGTATTACTTTATTTCTCCTTTTCAATAAAAATTTTTGTTATATTGTGTGCATAATAAACT